TGGTCCTAATGCCCACACAGATTACATAAAACCAAACTTGAATATTTCCTTCTTTTCAAGGTAAATCCATTCAATCATTTTACTCTGTTTACAATCAATCTGGTCTATGGCAGACTGAATCACTTAAAGCAGTAAATAAAGTTAGATTTTTAAAATGCTGCAGCTGTCCATGACACACTATGCATGGAACTTGTAGGTAGGTACTAGGATCCAGACACCCACATCATGTTCACCCTCTGCCACTGTCCTTGTGGGAGGGAGGTAAAAAGCTGTAATTATGTATTCAAGTGAAAGAGTTCACTAACCAGAACCTTTTAAAAATGTCTAAGTCCCATTTATATTGTCAAAAAGTTAATTTAAAACCACTTTTATCTATTCACTAAATCACCATTACTGAAAATATATTCTGGCCTACTTCAAAAGCTATAAAGTCAAAATCTTTAAGATATCCCTATAATTTAAAACTTTTTTTTAAAGCTAACTAATCATAGATTTTCCCTACTTTGTTAGTATGATTGGTGAGATCTTTCTTGAATTTCACTGAAGATTAGATTGTATCATGTAATGGCATAAACGCAAATTAAGTTTACCAAGTCAAACAAAATGCTAAACATAAAGGTTATAGAATTGTAATATGCTAGAGAAAACAGCAAGGAGCCAAGGTGAAAGATTTGGTAGGAATTCCATCAATACTCTGCCAATTGTGGGGCAAGGTAGATATGTATTAAACTGTATTTTATTCTTTAGGTCTTCACAGTATAAAGGAAGAGACATTATGAAACTTGACATGGTAATTTTTTTTTTTCAGAAGCAATAAAGAACTGGTCTCACTTTCAGGACAGCGTCAGCCAAATCTTAAGGGCTACAAGTCACCCCGAGCCTGGCAACAGTAACTTTTCTTCCTTGACCCATGAAGGCAGAGTGCCAGAGGGAAATAGCAAAGAGTAGCACTATATAAACAGGGCAAGTGGCACAAGAGCAGAGGCAAGTTATATAACCAAAATATATTTTAAAATATGTTCATAACTCGTAACAACCTTTGCCTTTGGTTGGTTTCTTGTTTGCAGTATCAGTTGAAACAGTTAATTCAATATTATCTGGATCGCCTCCTTCCTCTTCAATAGCCTACATTAGAAAGAGAAGTTAATATGCTACACAATCTGCCTACACTTATTTTATAAAAACGAAACGAAAAAAAAAATCAGCAAACCTCAAGCCTCAAGACATTACAATTGCCAGTCATTTCATAAACCGACTGCAAACACAGCAATTAAACTACACGACTGAGAGGCACTTTCAGGGGGAAATATCATTAGGTATCAAAAAAATCACATGGAGTTTTACATTCCACCGAGTCGAGATAATTAAATTAGTATCGTACTGAACGAAAGTCTAAACGTTCTCAATGGCAGAAAAGTTGCTTGCTGCGTTAGTAAATAGCTACATGAAACTTATTTCTCCTCCACCTCCATTCCAACGCTCACTTCAAATAAACCAGGAAGATGATCCGGGAAAGCAGGTTCTTGAGCTGATGCAAAAACTGAAATTCCAGCGGAACACAAACCCTTCCTCTCACCCACCCATCAACTTCCACTATCAATCCCCCCCTCACTCCCCCCGCCCCCCAAGATGGGGAGGAAACGGTTGGGCTCAATTAAACGGTAACTTCGCAGAAGTCACCAAAGTCACCAGTCCCCTCCGAGGTCAAGAAACGCTCGCGCTCACCATCGCTCCCGGCTGGGGACCGAGCGCCCCCCGGGTCCCCACGACCGCCCCTGGGGAGGCCCCGCCGGCCGGCCGCAGGCCCCCGCAGCCCGGCGACAACGTCCGGAAGAGGGAGGGGCGCACTCGGCGGCGGGCGTCGGGAAACCCAGGGCGGCTCCCGGCAGGTCCGCAGGCCCTGCCTGGATGCTCTAGGCCGGCGGGTCTGGGCGAGGGTCCTTTGTCAGCCTGAGTGGCGGACCCGCGCGGGAGGCTGCTCCAGTCTGGGGACAGGAGAGCTATTGATGGTTCGCATACGCGGGAGCATCTGGCTCACCAGGGGGTCGCTAAGAGCGAGGTATATCATGCCTTGCGAGGATATGATGAGGCCTCAGAG